AACGAATTAACTAAGAAATTCATCTAAACCGGATTATCTAGTTCGTTTTGAAACGTGACTTGATTCCTATGAATCCAAATACCCCATAAAACTTTTACCGATTCACGAATTGCCTCATCATCCAAAGCTTGAAAAAACCATTGCCTCAACCAATCATGGCCTAGACAAGGCACCTCATTTTCAAAATCAAGTCCAAGACTGGATCCCTTCCAAATGTGCTTAGAGAAAATACAATGAAAAAACAAATGCTCAAAAGTATCCTCATCCTCTCCGCATCTAGAACAGACGGAATCTACCAAAATACCTCTCCTACTGAAGATTAGTCTTAATTGGTAAAATTCTATGCAAAAATTTCCAGATGAACATGGCCCATTTGAGAGGCAAATTAAGTTTCCATAATTTTTTCCAGCACTCATTTTCAACCCTAGAATCCCTTGTTGGAAAAAATGGTTTTTATATAGGCATATTTTTAACCCATTTTGGGTGGACCCCAAACGTCTTTTTGGGTGGGTCCGAAGAGGTGACGTGTTCCTTGCCGCGTGGCAAGTCACACGGTGAAGACGGTACGTCAAAACCATTTATGAGTGAATGGGAAGTTGACGTCGTTTTCGGGTTTTACATTAATTTTTTTAGATAAAATTCATTTGAATTTTTTCAATAAAAATTATTGTGGGAATTTAATTTAATTCTAAATTCTAATTTTGGGTACTTGAGTTGTTTCCTAAAGTTTGTAATTGAGAGAATTTAATTTAATTCTAAATTTAAAATTTTAGATTCCTTAAGTGGTTTCCTAAAATTTGTACCTCTTACTTTATTTATATTCAATAGTTTAATATATATATATATATTCAAATAGTTTATTTACTATTAAAGTTCCAACAGGTGATATGTACTTCTAACAGGTCACTTTTTCATAATGTTTGAAAATGCTCCGGTTTTGCCAAACGGAAACTTTCAAAAACATTTGAATTTAATTGGTGCGTCTGTTCACTTTTTTTGAGAAACCTGTTCGGGGCTTAGGATTTTGCCTATATATACTGTCTTATTTCCAGCGTTTTGGAGAGGGAAAAAATCAGTCAAAATAATCTGGAAATTTAGTTTTGGTAATCCAATTTCCATCCGAAATTTTTAGTCTAAAATTTTTCTCTTCGCTGTCCATTTCTTTTAGTGCATTATTCCTCATATTTAGTTTTGGAAAAAAATATTCAGAGAGTATAGATCACAGGTTTGGTTCGCCGAACAAATTTATTTGAAGTACTTCTATAAATTTGTGAAGATCATTGCATCCTGGGAGATAGACGCCACTCAACCGTAAGTACCATAGCGGGGCGAATCTGTCTTAAGGACAGAGTGCCACACACTCGACTTGGTCTTGATATTTTTATTTGGTTCGACAAAATAAATCCGGTATGTTATTTATTTATTTTGTTTGATTTTATTTCTAGTTATTTTATTTACACAGAAGATTGTTCCAACATCACTATTACTAAGGATCTTCCCATCTGTCAGAGCAAAATAGAAACCTGTCTAAACTGAGTAATTTCCATCCCTAGACACAGACCACACTACACGATCAATAGTAAGAACTTGTGGAATATGAATATTCAAGATATGAGGAACCATGTGAGCCGGAAAAAGTGACCTCACCAAAGGTTCCCTCCAAGTTCTAGATTCTTGTTCAATAAGATGAGCCACTGTGAAAGAGCTAAAAAAACAGCCCCTTCCCCACCCTATCATCTCATTATGAATTGTAGGAATCCATTGATCTTCAAACGGATCAATGTTCCAACCATTGCCTACTACCCAGCCCAGTCCTTTTTTCAAGAGATCCCTTCACCAAAGAATACTTCTCCAAGCCCATGAGCAACTAGACTTAGGTTTAGTTTCGAGAAAGGCACTCTTCGAACAATACTTAGCCAAAAACAATCTACTTATAAGGATTGTGGATTTTGCAAAATTCGCCAAGCCACCTTAGCCAGCAAAGTTTGATTCATCAACCTCGGACCTCTTAACCCCAGACCATGCACCTTCATTACAAATGCTTTTACCCATCTGGAGGAGGATCCCTCCCAGTCCAAAATGTGGACCGGTGGGCGCTATTTCGGCTCGTAAGGTCCATCACAGGCCCTATTTCAATGATCTAAACCGTTCATTTGTTGGTTACTTCGTATATTTCATTCACGCAAAAAATTAGATTGATCCGATAATTGTAACTAGTTCAATTTATCACATTTTTCACCAAAAAATGGATGACAACAAAATAAATCATACATTTTTTTTTATGACAAACATAATAAATTAACTAGTTACAGTTATCTAATCGACCTCATTTTTTTTGTAGATAAAATATACGAAATACCTAATAAAATGAATGATTTAAATTATTGAAACGAGACCCGTGATAAGCCCCACAGGTCGGAACAGCGCTGTCCAATCTAGATTTTACTCCGGAGGGGATCCTCCTCCCTTGCTTGTAATTATGAATCATATGTAGTGCTTAGTTATGGATTTGTGGTAGTCAAATTTGTGATGAACTTGATTGTGACTTTATAATGGTTGATTGTGAGTTGGGTTGCCATTGATAGAAGCCTCTGCTATGTTTGGATTGGGTGATTTGGAGAGAAAAGAAAAGAAATGAAGAGATATGTATTTCTCTTACTTGTTTGAATAACTTAAGTGGAGAGAAATGGAAAGAAATTGAGAGAAACTCATTTCTCTTATGACCCTCATTTTCAATCTTCTCAAAAGTGTGGAGATTGGGAGAGAAAAGAAACCAATATTTTCATAATATCAATTTTGTCCCTGTAAAAATAAAAGAAATAAAATGAGTGAAAAATATAAAAAGGTTATTTTGGTAATATAATATAAAATAATTTCTTTTATTTTCTTTTGTTTTATGAAATCTAACCAAACAAAAAGGAGATAAATTATAATCATTTCTTTTATTTTATTTCTTACTTATCCAAACAAGGAGAAAAATCACAATTATTTCTTTTATTTTCTTTTCTCTTATAATTTAAATAATCATTTCTTTTCTTTTCTTTTCTTTTCTCCCCTACCTTCCCAAACATACCTTCCCAAACATAGTGTTAACTTCTACAACTATTCACTTATTGCAACTGTCGCTTACCAGTTCTCCCTTCTCCTCATCATCTTAAACTAGCCAATAGCCACTCATTGCAACTACCGCTTAGTGGCTCCCCTTCCTCATCTCTTTGAGAGTAGATTAGATGTATTAACTGTATTTGACCTCCTCCACAAAACAAAGGAAAGAAAATATATATAGTCCCTCCGTCCCATAATATTAGTCCCTTATTCCATTTTTTATTGTCCCAAAATATTAGTCCCTCTTAAAAAATCAAGTACAAAAATAATATAAATTTCCTATTTTGCCCTTCTTTTAAATTCATAAATAATATAAAAAGTATAATTATGACATTGATATTCCCAAAAAAATGTACTATCAAAGGGTAATTTTGGAAAATCAACTTTTTTAAAGTACAATAATTGTACTACCAAAAAAAGTTAGATTCCCCAAAAGAGACCATTATTTTGGGACGGAGGGAGTATATACTAGTGGGTGGCACACACGATGTGTGTGTAATTTAAATAAGTAGGAATAAAAAAAAATAATAATGAAATTAATATTATAATGTGTATTTAGCTTAAGTGGTATGAGTCATCGTACTTAAACCCATGGTCATGGGTTCAAGCCTTGCCCATCTCTTTGTTTAACTTTTTTTTTAAAAATAAGAAATACTGCCACATGGCATGAAGAGAGTAAAGCTTCAGGACACCATAAGAGTTATGTGTTCACTTTATAATAGTATAGATAGATATATATTGTGCTGTTTAATGAAGTTCTAATATTTTTACGCTTAATTATCATATCATGGCAAGCAAGGCAACGCCAGTAACTCTGCTGGGTTTGAATCATATCAGACCTTATAAGCCCATTGATAATTTCCTACTTCATAATGGGATCTACTATAAGTAGTTACAGGGAATGCAACTCAGTCATGCTCAGTTCACCCTCTAAAATTTGAACATTTAGATTATATAATTTTAAATTTAGATTGAAACTAAACTAGAGTTATAGCTTGGCACATAGCTCAAACTATATTTCTTATTTATGTTCCATGATTGCTATTTTTAACATTTTTTTATTAAAAAAAATAATTCAAAACAACGCAAGTGTTGAACTCAAGATAATATTTTGGATTGAATTTAGGTAATCCAAATTTAACCCAAATTCTTTGAAATGTATACTTTCTTTGATTTGGGGTCCAAGGTCAACAATAGTAGCCTCTCTCTCTCTCTCTCTCTGAAATGTTTTACCATAATTTTCTCATAGAGTCATGATAGAGACCCTCTCCAATCACCACCCCCACAATCCCCACAGACACGTGACGGTGATGATTGGAGGAGCAGGAAAAAAAGAAAAAAAAAAAAAATGTAACTAATGAGAGAGAGAGAAAGGGTCAAAAGGGGTGAGGGAAAAAGGGACATAAAACATTTTTGTTTCTCATATTACCATTTTTTTTTTTTAATCAAGATTCACAAATAGAAAATAAATAAACAAACAAGACATTATTTTTGCAAATTACTTGATCATAAAAAGTAAGTAGCTCCAAAAAAGTAATTAGCAAGTCCATCCTCATTGATGATGCTTTTATTAAACTATGTCCATTGATCAACCATGACATATAAAACGAGACGAGGGAGGTTTAGTAATAGACAAGAGATGGTTTCCAGCTTATCCCCCACTTGGCTTGCAAGAATACAGCTTTCCAACCTAACATTATTTTTACTCAAATTTTCCTTGCCCCGTGTGTAGGGTTTTCTTTCCCTCAGAGAATTGACCATAGACATTTTTTCCCCAGTAAATTGATTTACTTGTGTCCTCAAAAACAATCGATGACTTCATTAAAACAGTAAAGAAAGGCCGTGAACACACGCAACAAAAATAATAAATTACAAAAACAAAACAAAACAAAAAATAAAAATAAAAATAAAAGCCTGGATTGGTCAAACAAATAATACAACATACTCATTTAAGGAGAACCAAAATAGATGAATTATACAAATCCCTCCATGAAGGAACACATCAGGCTTTCTTTATATAGTGCCCCCAAGGTAATCATAGCCAACACTATCTAAAAGAGTACTAACATCAACAATATGATATAATTCCCCTAATAGTCTACTGTCTTCTCAAGATAACAGCATTACCAATTCCTGAGCAACCGCGAACACTATTGCCCCACACACGCACATCACGGGAAAGACCCCAAAAAAATTTAGTATATATGAGAACCAACCATCTAGTTATACTTTCCTCGAAAAAAAAAAAAAATCATCTAGTTATATATTTAATAACTCGTCAGAAAGAATTGAAACGAACTGCCAAATAGTAACCTAACTCAGAAACTACCTTCTGCATTGCAACTCAGCAATGTTTATTTCCTTTAGCTGGACGCAACTGGCTTTGAAGTGGCCTGTTTTATGGCCTCAGCATATGTCCTGTGTTGATAAGTAAGGGTAGATTCAAGCAAGTCCCAAAGTGATGTCTTAGGATTCCAACCTGGTACTCCCACAAAACCAAACTCTTGTCAGAATGTTCTCAACCCTCAAAATATAATCAAAAGAATTACTAGTGAATGGAAGAAGACAATAATACCGAGTTGTCTGTTGATTATGGTCATATCTGGAATCCTCTTGTCACTGTCATCGTACCCTACACCATAGAATTCTTTGGAGCTTACATCGATGGTGGGTACTTCCAGAGGGGCTTCAGCACTCACCTTTGAATAAACCTGTCATATGCAAGAATAATAATGTGAGAAATAATACAAATACAAACAATGGGCATGGGCATTGCCACTACGAAATTCACCTTGGTCATCATTTCAGCAAGTTGCCTGACAGTAACTTCATTGTTAGGATTGCCCACATTGAATATATGACCGTTAGCCCTGGCTGGATTTTCCTGAGAAAGAAGAACACACCACTAAACTACTATGTCTGGAAACAAACATGAAATAAAAAAAAGGGCAAATTACAAACACCCCCTCGAAGTTTGGTGAAAATACAAATTCCCCCATGAGGTTTGAGAAATTACATCCCGCCCCCTAAAGTTTATATTTTCATAACAAATTGCCCCCTGAGGTTTTTATTTTCATACAAATTCTCCCCTAATTTCTCCTAATTTGTTATGAAAATTTGACCGTCAGGGGGCAATTTATAATTTCTTAAACCTCAGGGGGAAATCTGTATTTTTACCAAACCTCGAGGGAGGTGTTTGTAATTTGCCCAATAAAAAATATAGGGAAGGGCAGTAACGCACAATCATCAGCAGAACAGCTTCAATAGCATCCTTGATATAAACAAAGGTTCTCTGTGATTGGCCACCATCCACAAGTTTGAGTGGCTCACGTCTAAGAAGATTCTGCAGCAGAAGATAGAAAGATTACAATGTTAAGGATACTGAAGAATACAAATGTATGTCTCAAATTGTTAGAAGGAATTGAACTAACATTACTAAAGCATGCCAGAACCCTTGGAACACCCTCACTGGGACCATCGATGCCGGGAATGAAATCCATCCTAGGACCAATCCAGTTGAAAGGTCTCACGATAGTGAATTCAAGACCGTTCTCCGCACCCTCAGCTGTGACCATATAAAAAAGAGGTGAACAAAAATACACTTGAAGGAACCTTTTAACCAGCAAGAGAGCAGCACACAAGAATACTCACCATAGACCAGCCTCTCAATCAATTGCTTTGCACAAGCATAGGACCACCTCTGCTTCTCAATAGGACCAAAAATGCAGGGAGATTCATCTTCCTTAAGAACATAATAAGCAGGATCCTGATCCATGATAAACAGAAGGCAAACAGGCTTAAATTAGATAGAGACAAACGAAGTAATGACAATTTTGAGGAAATTTACGACTAATTCGCTCGGTGTCCTAAAACTGCAAGACAAATATATACTTATCCAAATCAGTAAAACATAAACTTCAATCACTAAAATTTCCTTTCAAAAGTGCAACACAAGTTTCAAACACTATCATGATCCAAACAAAATTTGCAATTTAATCTAAAAGATGTTGTGTCCAAAAAAATCTAAAAGATGCCGAGTACACCATATTTTCATAAACACAAATATCCAATAATTAAAAAAACTCCCACATAGCAGACCAAAATCCCCCAATAAGAATTGAACTTGACAACAAATTATAACCACACCAAAAAAGGGATAATGAGTTCAGACAATTAGGTTTGAATGAGGATCTATTCATCACATTGCAGCAAAAGTATTCTAAAAGGGCATTTATTCATAAATCCATTTTCACCTACTTATGTTTCACTTGGTCCAAATTATTTTTTTATGTTCCAATAAATCCTATGAGTGACGTAGTTATCAAAATACTCTTAATAATAATAGGCTGAAGTGCGTATTAATGTTCACATTGACAATGTTAATGTTCCTTGATGTGAACATTCACCCTGACAAATTTATTTAATGTGAATGTTCACGTCACCAAGTTGTCAAGGGTTCAAAAAATATTTGTAAGGGTAAAATTGTCCATAAAATACCTTAAATAAGAGAATTAGGATTTGATCGATCAAATATCCAAAATAATATAACTTATTGGAATACAATAATATCTTATGAATTAATCGGAATACAAGTAAAAACTATATTTTCTAATAAATTCCTCTATTCTAAATAACCAAAGAGATTGACTAAGAAAAATAAAATAAAATGAATGCAATATAGTAACACATGAGATAGTGAACTCTCTCTCTCTCTCCTTTCTTTTTTTAATATTATTTTTCTCTTCTCCTACACTTTATTTGGTTATCCAAAGAAAATTTCATAGAGTAAATAAGCATGAAAGTACTTCAATTACCAGTCATGTTAAATGATGTTGACATGAAGATTGCATCAGTAAAGCATTAAGAAATCCTAAAACTGTTAAGCCTTTAAATATGTGCAGAATATTCAAATATACATGCCACACAAGAGGCACATGATTACAATAGTTGAACAAATAGATTAATTGACATTCCAATCTATATCTAAGGAATCAAAGGTGTGAGCCTGTTCAAAGGTCAAACCTCCTTTCAACTCCAAATCTTAATATAGAAGAATACGTATCAAAAAGTTGTGCAAATGCACGTGGACATGTTCTGAATATCTAAAGATATTGCATATGGTATATTGGCACCCACCATTTGATTGTCCCATTTAGTAGATGAAGCTAACATGAAGCAATTGACTCAATATCATTAACTGGAACAGCACTTTACTAAAAGCATGCTCAAAACTTTTTCAAGATGGCATGCAAGTCAATCAAATACTAAGCCAAACAGATTAAGTACACTTGATCTACTGAATGGAGCACATAAAAAAGCATGATAAAACTACTTTCCTATTTAAAATTGGTATGTTAAGGTTCCATTAGTAACAGAGAAGAGAAAATTCGTGCTCACTACAATCTGTCAGCAATTTAATTTAATTCTGGCCCACACAAGGGAAGAAAGCAAAAAAACAAAAAAGGCTTGCAATTCAATGGAGATCCACAACTTCGCTACCCACAATGAAATTGAGGTATTCACCTTGAGAAAGAAAAAGAGCCTAAAAAGCATACAGCTCAAAAGGAGAACAAGAAGATTTTTTAGAAAACAAGAAACACCTACACGGAGACAGGACATGGCAAGAGCATGCCGACATTAAAATTTTCAAAAAAAATGTATACAACACGTAGGAGGCAAGTAAAAAATATATGATTTTATAAATTTATAATATATCCTATATATAGGGCATAGATAATTATGATGTCATATACATAAATATTTAAGTCAAAAATAATTTTTAAAAAATCTTAAAGAGAAGAAGAGGTACTAATTTATATTATTTTTGTTTTATCATTGAATTTCAAATTATTTTTTTGAAACTTGTAATATGTTTTATATGTATCCAAGTGTTGTTGAGATGTGTTTGAGAAGAGTATTGTGTCACGTCAGTGCCAGAAGGGTGATTCTTAGCAAAGATTTGTCCAAGTATTGATGCTTTTCTTAAAATTTTATCGTGTTCATAAACTACACTAGGACTAACAATCAGACTTTCTATCTCCAGATCAAATAGCTGGCAGTTCATCCAACAACCAAAATATTTAAATTAAATAAAAATGATTATTAAAAAAAAAAAATGAACACACAAGTGACTAAAACATGATAATATTATTAACTAAAAGCATAGATCTGGTTTCTATGTAAACAATGAAAGTGGTATAGAAAATAGACAAATAATAGAAAATAGAAAGTGAAGACTCACCAGCCGCAGAGGGCTTTCTTTAGGAAGAAAGCTTCCAACTGTTTTCCCATAGACTTCACAAGTAGAGAAGTGAATAAGACGCTTGTTGTTTTCCGAACAGTACTTAACCTAATCCATACCAAAAATGCACATCAATTTCAATCAATCTCAACAACAAAAACCAAAATTTTATGAACAGAGAGATAACACAAATGTCAACAATCACCAACAATTCACATCAAAACAAATCAATTTCATTCAGATTCGAAGATCAACAACAAGAATCCATAATGCGTACCACAGGGAGAGCATCAATGAAATTGCTGTAAATTGTATCGAGAGGACGCGTATTGTAATCCGCTGGAGTACAGATCGCCGCTAGATTTATAGTCTACATAACAAAAAGCAGTAAGATTTATCACAATCACAAATTGCATCGAACTAGATCATATTGTAACAATATTACATAAATACAAATATAAATATAGAGAGAAATTTAACAGATATCAATCTTGAAACGCACAATTACACAACTAGAGAATGAATTATAGAGACATAATATGCTTGTAAGTTTCAAGAAGCTAGGTATAAATCCAGAAGAATCTAAATTCACAATAAAGATTAAAAAAACGCTTAAAACAAGAATAAAATATGACAAATGAGAGAGAGAGAGAGAGAGAGAGGGAAAAAACAAAAGAGAAATCGCGAGAGAGTACCAGATCTGCCATCTTGATGAGGCCTTCGAGCCGAGAATCGTTCTTGATGTTGATGCGGTGGAACTGGATGCGATCGGCCCAGGGAAGCGAAGCAGGTTCGAGAAGGTGCTTGATCTTGTCGTTGTAAACATCCACCGCCAACACCTTGTGTGGAGTCTCGGACATCAGCTTCTCACACAGGTGAGAACCAATGAACCCTCCGGCACCAATCATACACATCGTTATCGGCTTGATTGGATTTCCGTCCAGATCTACTCTCGCTGCCGACGCCATTCTCTCTCTCTCTCTCTCTCCCCCTCTCCCTCCAAGCTTTCTCTCTCTAAAATTGCCCTCCAAGCTTTCTCTCTCTAAAATTGCCCTTGCTTTCTCTCACTATATGGAGAATAGGGTCTCCTCCTTTCTTTCTCTCTCTAGATTTAGACAGTGGCTTCGTCGGAGGAAATGGAATACTTGGGTGGAGAGGAGAGAGGGGGAAGGTATTTAAAGCAAGAAAAGGAGGGAGAGAAGAGGCTCTGAGAGCCTGTCCCTACAACACTCATTTTCTGTGAATAATTTTAGACATACTCTCTCGAGTACGTAAAATGTTTTTTACTCGCCTGAATGTGACTGACTGCTCGTGTACGCTGACTACTTTGGTGTACTCTGGGGGCGGGGTGACCACCGGATTATTTTTGGCGATGGATCATATGATTTGGGTGCAATTCGGGTGGGTTTAGTCGGGTTAGAAATTTGTCTAAGCTCTGTCTAAATTGTGTTGAAACTTATTCAAACTTGTCCAAGTCTGAATTGTAATTCGAGATTGTTTGTTCAAACTCGACCCGAATTAAATTCAAGTTGCCTGAATTATAAATGAATTTTATTTTTTTTTTGTATAACTACATTATTACATTATTAAAATTTGATTCTATTTATAATTTTTTTTATATAGTAAATCATTAATATCATCAAAATAAATAATTTATATAATGTAAGAGATATGTCATTATAGTAGTCCTTACAATTTATGAATAAAAAAAAAGTAAGATTTTATATTATTTGTATATATAATATATATTTAATATGATTTAATAATATAAATTACTTTAATATCATGTAATGGCTAATAATTTATATGTATATTTAATATTTTTATATATCTATATATGTATAATTCGGGTTTCGAGTTGCTCGAGTTGTTTAACGTCTTTGCCCAAGCCTGCTTAAATTTAATTCGGGCTTCTGAATTTTGACCAAGCCCATACCGAATTTGAAAATATTTTGTCCAAACTCTAAAAAAATTCGAGCTGCGCTCGAGTTGCTCGGGTTGAACCCGTCTAAGTTGCCCCTACGTATGATTGAGGTGGAAGAAGATAAATCTGTCTGGCTGCTCTCTCTCTCTCGCTATAGTTTGGGAGGTTGTTGCGTTGCTGCTTTCTCTAGTTACAGTTTAAGGAGGCTGTTACGCGCAATAGTGACTGTTGCATAATTAATGAATTTTTTTTTAATCTTTAAAAGATATTGAGTAAAATATGCATGTAAAAATTTAAATTAATCGAATTTCGATATCCTTTTCATCCAGACATGTTTGTATTCATATTTATACTTAAAATTAAATTTACCATTCAATTTTTTTATATATAAATATGTCTGGATGAAAATGATACTGATCTCCAATGAACTTGAATTTTTACAGATATATTCTACTCAATGCCTTTTAAAAGTGAATGGTTACCAAAAAGGCTCCCTTAACCGTGCACCAATCCCCTCTAGCACAATTGGATTAAAATAGAGTTCGTTTGGAAAGTATGTTGGCTTTTTAGCTATTTTAGTCTGGAGGTTGGGATAGGCTTTTTAACTTTTTTGTGAGAGAAAAAATGTAATGATTATCAGTTGGATGTGACATTTTGTCTTATTAGGCTAAAAAACTTATTTTGTCTTTTTGTGACTAAATAACCTCAAACTCAACCCAACCCAATTCAAGTTATCAAACGAAGGCATAGTATACTAAAAAATAAAATAAAATGTCATATTAATTTATAATATGATCAAGTAACTATCAATACCAGATCAATTTGATTTTTTTGAAAAGTAGCCTAGCAAAATATAAATAAATAAATAAATAATTGCTTCTATTATTAATTTTATCAATTAGATAAATTTGTATTGTTATCAAACATTTAAAAAAAAACTTTATATTATTACAAAAATTTGTTTAATTTATGTAGGTTAAATTGTATTCACCTTCCTTAATATTTGGAGAAAAAAAATACACAGTTAATCTTATATTTTTTATATAATTATATTGACTTTATTTAAGATTTTGATTTAAATAATAATTACATAATAATTTATCTCCTAACATTTGAAAATGAATATATAACTCCCTTATATCTTAACACATGTTTTATATTTGTTATTAACTTTGACGGAATATGTGACAATACATTTTATACCACAAATTACCACCAAAAAAAAATGTAATTATTTTCAAATCATAAGAATTTAATTTACACATGAGTCAAACTATAATAGAGCAAAATGAAATTTGCCTCCTTTTACTAAGCATTGCATTCGGTCTCGTTTGGAAACAAATTAATTTAGTAATTTTTTGATTATTTGATTAAAATATGAGCTAAAAAAAATTAATATGTTTGGGGATGACTTTTTAACTTTTTACGAAAAGATATGCAAAAAGTAGAGAGAAAAGAGAATTTTTGACTTTTTGACTTTTTTGTATGGGTTGTTGACTTTTTAACTAATTTAATAACATTTTGACTTTTTGACTAAAAGGATTCGGCCCATTAAACCATTCATTTAAAACAACAAAACTCCCCAAAAAAAAGGAATTGGACTGTTATGCCTCAATTTGAGGTATATTATGAACTTATTTTTATGATCTAAACCATTTATTTTGTAAGGTTTGTTGAGTACTTCATGTCTACTAAAAATCATATTAATCGGGTATTAACAACTATATGATCGATAACCAAAAAAATAAATAATAAGTTTTTCTTTTGAGAAATAGCATAAAAAAATATGAGATTAGATCTTATAGTTATTAATATCTGATTAATCTAATTTTTGATAAGTATAAGCTACTCAACAAACCTTACAAAATAAACGGTTCAAATCATAAAAATAAATCCATAATGCACCTTAAATTGAGGTACAACACTCCATTTCCCACAAAAAAAAAAAAAAAAAAAAAAAAAAAAAAAAACACAATCATCAAAATCATCCATCCCTCGAGTATTACTATTGCATTAAAGATTTTTTCCCATCTCTCACGTTCGCATGCATCCATGGATTTGTACACTTTTTAGGATGCCGTAACTTTTGGAAAATGTCTCGTAACTCAAATTTTGTGGCTCAAAAGTGGCTCAAATGGTCAAAACGACGTCGTTTTGGCCATTTGAGCCACTTTTGAACCACAAAATTTGAGCTACGTAGCATTGTCGGTAACTTTTTTCCTTAAAATAAATGGAACAAGTGAATATTTTAGAGCCACATCTACAAATCAAGCAAATAGTTTTGGCCAAACAACAAAGCTAGTAATTGTGAGTGAGAAAAATATGGCAATTTAACTTGCTCTTAAAAATGTCAACACAACTTGTACACGTTTTTTCACAACTAGTACTTATGGGGATAAATTATTTTAGTAATTTTTTAATTTTTTTATGAAAAAATATTAAGAAAAATAAAAAAATATGATGTGATAACTTATAGTGATTTTTTAATTTTTTAACTAAAATATATAGTCGCCAAACGAGGCCAAAGTCTCCGTTTGAGAAGTTGGTTGGAAGTTGTTTGGAACTAAAAAAATATAAAAAGATAAAATAAATTAAATAATTTAATAAGGTAAAATATCACATTCAAATCATAATCATTTCACTTTTTATCTCATAAAACGATAAAAAAAAAATCAAAAAAAAAATGTTCTTCCCAAAAGGAGTTAAATTAGTCAAAAAGTCTTGATAATAAAGTTATTCACAGAGTATTAGTAGAAAGAAAGTGTTTGGTTTAATTTTTAAAATTAATTTTTGGATTGAAAAATCAAAAAACATGTTTGATTTATCATTTTTGAAAATTATTTTCAAAATTGTTTTTTTTTCTCTCCTCTCTCTTTTTCTCTCTGTTTTTTTTACACATTAATTAATTATTTTTTTCTCCTTCCCAAACCAAGCTTTTTAGCCCAGGCTAAAATAGCCAAAAAAGCCAAAAAGCCAAAAAGCCAACCCACTTCCCAAACGGAGGCTCACAGAGTATTAGTAGAAAGAAAGTGTTTGGTTTAATTTTTAAAATTAATTTTTGGATTGAAAAATCAAAAAACATGTTTGATTTATCATTTTTGAAAATTATTTTCAAAATTGTTTTTTTTTCTCTCCTCTCTCTTTTTCTCTCTGTTTTTTTTACACATTAATTAATTGTTTTTTTCTCTCTTCTCTCTCCTCCTCTCACATTTTACACATCATTTAAATCAAATTTTTTTCTCACATCTATTTATTTAACTATGAAAAAGCTTATAAATCATTTCAAAATTATTTTTAAAATTCATAACTAGAAATTCTTTTAATTTTTAAAACTTTTTTGCAAAACTTATTCTTTAAAAATTAAAACTAATCTTAAAATTAAACCAAACGGAACTTTGACTTGCATTCCATTTTCACAACATGTGAGAGATAGAGCTCCACCGCTAGTAAGAGAGTATGCAAATCAGAGTATAAAAAACTTTGATAGCTATGGAGAGAGAGGATTGGCGTGTGGGGTCACTTCAAAATACTTCAACCAATGAGCTGTCCATCTTTCATTCTCACGTGGGTCATATTCCGATGTTGTTTGGCAAGTTAATAGTCACAAATAGGGGTGTGCATAATATCGCCGAAATTGTCGAAATCGCACCGAATCGCACCGCTAAGGTAAATTCGTTATTATTTGTCAATTGAATCGCCGGTTTTTTGTAAGAAAAATGGCAAATTCTAGTGACACTTTTATCAATCCGCCGGTTTCTATTTTTCTTCCAAACCGCACCGACCCGCACCGCTATTAAATCATATTTTATAGGATTCTAAAAATTCTTTTTCACTTAAGTTTGCTTGTTGTTTTACCTTAAAATATAGTATTACTGTTGGCTTTTTGGCTTTTCGAAGGATATTTTTGTGAATGCGAGCGTGCCAGCAAGGATCAATCAGTCCTTACAGAAATTGTGATTGCCAACCAATTATCAGACGATTGTGTTTTAGTTCTTTTCAGCCTCAATGAAGAGGACTTTTACTGGTGGCTTGACTTAGGAGAAATTAAGAGAGAAAACAGTAATATGAAGAACAATTGAAGTATTTCATAAAAAATGAACACTTACAATGGTTCGAACTCAGCCTCGGAGAGGTTTACAACAGCAATCTACTTGAATCTACTTGAAACTACTCCTATGAATCGAAGTGCAGTGCGGGTATTTAAAGTGCTGGTATTTA